TAAGCTAATTAACGTGAGCCGATGTCAGAATTCATAGCTAGTCGTCGTTCGCTCGAACCGGCTGGCAAGTCTGTTTCTCTCGTCCGCCCGACTCGAGCTTGTATAAACGTATCTATACACATTAACACTACCGCATCGTCTATACATCTTGACTCATATATAATGCACTGATATTTCGAGGGGCACAAGGAATATCGCAGCATTGTTTCATTGCGCGCTGAGCGCTAAGGCCGCCGCCGCGCGGTCGGTTCGCACCAACCATAACCATCATTCTATATTCATATAATTTCCCCGTCATATACATTTTATAGCAATTAATAAAAATAAAACACTAAGATTACATCCCTTAACATGTCTAAATGTCTAATTCGTACTCTATTTACATTTGACATAATACATAATATTCAAATTGTTCGGTGAATCGACAGTCTTGCGAGATCGATGTCGAGCCCGGGCTCGCGGCGGCGGCCGACCTCTGATTACTGTACAGCAAATTTACAATAACATTTGATCAGAATACGCAAACTCAAAGATCTATATCTAAAAATTAAAGTAAGGTAAGGATCATCGTGTATGTAACGCCCGCCTTAAGCCGCTATAATATCAGCTATGTTAAGTAATATAACATATTAAGTTTGCACATGACAAAAATGCCACTAGATAACATATACAACAATATTAAATTAAATAAAATAGGCCACATTCATTGTTATGGTTGAAATATGGGGTTAACACAACCTAATTTGAAGTTCCATAGGTAGATGCGATCGAATACAACAAAAGTAACGTAGTAGACAGATACATTGTGGCGGATTTGTCATGCGACAACAAATCATACATATTTGGGAATTAGTACTCCTAATTTATCACTAGCTAGGATTTAAGAAGATGACGTCACTAGATACTAAATATCTTCTACTCTGTACAATGGACTATGATATTTTATTGAGATATTTTTTTCCTTTGTATAAACGTGACAAAATACAAATATTTCTGTCCAACTTTACAATAACTTAACCGGTAACAATCGAGCAACATTTGACATTTTATTACTCCCTTTGTGACAGTATAATTAGATAATATTATATTTTATTACGTTAGAAAGGGGTATCTTATTTTAAATGGTCTGGGATTTGTAAATATTGGTCTAATCTACGTTATGCAGATGCCAACATGACACGTGATAGGGGTTCTAGTTAGTGGTGTCATATTGAATCTGGAACGGAATTACGACCGCGTATCTCCTATGCATTATTGCCTGTAAAAATATAGTATTCACATTCTTTTATCGCTATCCATGTACTAGGTGCGCCGATGAACAGTGCTAAATCAACGGTTTTGACAAATGGAATGCATTTCTCACAATATCCACTTTCAATAATCAACAACCTCCCCGAAAAATATTAACAGAAGAAATCTACTATCAATAAACAAATGTTTCAGTTAGTATAATGCACGTTATATTCAATAGTTATACGAATTATTATAATAAAACAATCGATAGTTCTTAAACTAGTGGTAACAATAACATTTCAACTGTTTGTTCCTATCGATTTCAATTGAGTTCGTTTTTTTTATTATACTTGTAATAAATGACATTTAACACCGAACGATGCAAGTAAAGGCAAGCAAAATAGAAGATGAAGGTGTTACTTGTATTTGTAGCGGGATTTAACTTACAAGAGTTTGTAGGTAATCTGTATGTGTGTATAGTCTGTGTGTTATCGATTACAGGTTGTCAGTGAGTTGTAAAGGTCACAAATTATAAACAAGATATAAGTTAACGCCCGCACAAACAATATCTTGCCAAAAATCTTCAACAGTCACGAACAGAGTTTTTGTTTAAAACTATTATTACAACAATAAACTAAAAAGAATAAGTTTTGTTCACTTTTGTAGGTTCCTATTAACAATTCGACACGTGGTTAATGTTTAGTTTGATAATTATATGTATTATTATATATTTCCATTGAATTGCAAATCCTTATAAATACTACACTCAAGGCCATTTCATTGTAATAACGTTTTGTTACAAAACCAACTGTTAAAGAGTGACTGTGACGACAATAGATAATGAGTGATTTTTGAATAAATAAACAACAGAAATAAATTAAAAACCAAAGCGAAATTTAATCATCTAATATCATGACCACAATATTGAGCATTATAATGAGTAAAAAAGCGATAATTAAACCACAAACTATTATCGTATCGTGAGCAACAAAAGGGCACTTATTTTTGAATTGACCAAAAACTTCACATCACTAATGACAATCTACTGTTTCTGTATATACATAAAAAACAATTGACGATTATAATGAAAATGAAATCCTAATACCGTTTTGACACTTTAATTGACAAAAAACTAACAGAAGTAACTTTATCCTTTAACAAGGTTTCGTAAACCTACGCAAAATGTTCGCGTTATACTATATAATACGCATATAACAACAAATAAGTATACATTAGGTGAAAATTAACTTTACAATGACATCATTCAATTTAAGGACGCTTCATGCCGTTTTTAAATTGCATTTGAAATTATGTAATGGACTTGCATAACTGACTTTGCTTTCGAAGATAAAAATCAGAATCACTTAACGCTAAATCATTTCAAATATGGACGTTACTTTCAGGACATAATATGCAAGACGGCTTCCATACATTGGACCAGGGACTTGTGGAGCTGTTAGCTTAGCTGTATCTTGTAACTTTGATCATATAAGTACTCAAGTTGGCCGTCTGTCGACTGGCCCGAATGTATACTAAAATTACTAAGAATTTTATTGTGATCTGGAGGGTATTACCGAAAAGGACCAGATAAATTCCTTATTTCTAGTGGATGTTCAACACTGGCCGGTTGTTGCTATCTTCGAGACGTTATGTTTGGCTATAGAAAATAAACGAATACTTCAATTTGGCAAACACTATATAACCTCATAATTATGTATTTGAACTCTGTCGTGTGATGCCCGATACCTTTCTAAACTACAACATAAGCCGTCACTCTTGTACGAGTACTTTGTGACATACCATGAGTTACTTTAAAGTCATACACTACACACAGGATCTTTTAACGGCAATAACACGACACAGCCAAACTTTAATAAATATGATAATATAATAATGAAAATAAACCTGAATTATTACACTAGAATATAACAAAATTTAACAAGAACGTGAATAAAATTCTTTCATAGATACTACTATGTACAACATGCAAGCCGGGCAAGACAAAATAAAATGAACGTCCAACATTAAAATATGGATGGATTGTTTAGAAGCGAAGGGACGACATTGGGTTAAATATTAGTGTAGATAAAAAGGGCAATATAATTGTTATCGAAGGCCAATAGTCGATCAAATTGACTCGTAAGAATTGTCCAAGTTCTCAGCACTTAGTCATACGTCTGTGACATCAAATTATTTACACTTTGACCTCGTTACAAGTGAAATAGTAAAATAATTAAGAAACAGTATAAGCAAACTTCATTTGGACAACAATAACATTAGACGGCAATCATTTTCGACTGGAATAAAATGTGGACGAACATATATCTAATTGGACTATTATATACTTGATAATTTATTTTTTAATATACATAATATGCTATTTACAATATAAAAATCAACCAGTTCAAGTCTTCGTTATGGCGATTAGATTCGCCACACGACTGACGACGGAGTAATATTGCAATTGTCAAGTCTTTGACAATAACAAACAAGGACAGTTTGGCAGACCATTTTGTTTCTGCTCAGTTAAAACTAAGTAAAAATGTGAATAAACTTCGTTAGAAAAGCGAGAAACAAGTGTTAGGTCCAGAAAGAAGATAAATATGTACATATACCATGTTGTATTACAAAGTATTGAATAAAGTGTATCAGTATGAGAACTCACATCGGTTTTAGCGAGTATCGCTCCGTTTAATCAGATGGTCAAGGTATCGCTCTGTTAAAATTAATGGAAGAACAATGAAACTTAATATACTATTATGTAACTTAATATTTTTTATTATTAACTACAATGAGAATGACTAAAAACAGAACAATAATTACCTTAACCATGTGTAGTCACAACTAGTGTTCATCTTGCCAAGTTGGCAGGCTAGCACAACATCAGAGATGTATATTTCCAAATAACGTAATTTCATAACTTCAATAACAGGCGTTTATTCAATTATAGAACGAACAGCAAACTTTCATTTTCGTCCCGAGTAGAGGTCATTCGTTAGTACGTATATAATTCCAATGACAATAACTAGTTGATTGGCATGATTCATGCATATTTATTAAGGTCTTTTCCTTGTATATAAGAACGAAAATGGTGTTCACGTTTCGTATTAGATTTCATTGAAGAAACGCTTTAGGGGATTTACACGAAGATCGTCATCACAAGCATTGAAATCCAGTTATTCAGAAACTGGATTTCAAATTAAATCTTCGTACAATCCACTAATAAAAACAGAAATAGTCAAAATTAATAACATAGTCACAAAAGAAAACCTGCCACTAGAAGAAGCACATACAAATCAGCGATTGCCGTACAAGTCATTCGGAGACGATAACCAAATCCTTAGTAAAAGGACATGGATGACCAAAATGTGGAACCAATGCAGTTAGAACGGATCGTTCCTTACACTAATAAATTGATGATATTTACAAAACCACTGCATTACATTGAGACTTCAAGGCACCACATTCCGACCAGAGATTACCGTCTCCAGCAAACGTTATAAGACAGGTTCACCATCCAATTTCCTTGTGATAAAACGTTTTGCAGTCAGCGCAGCATTACCTGGACCGTTAAGAGTACATCGAAGGCCTATCGTTATATATATAAAAAGCTTAACTCTGTCACTAAACGGGAGACACTGACTCGTATAAAAACTATAGATCTTATAATACAAATGTCTATGACCTGTTGAGATGCTCTGGGTAGGCGTGTTAATTATATATCAGTACTAAAGGCAGCGAGCGGCGGGCGGCGGGAAACTCGAGTGTCAGTACGCTTGCGTTGTGCTCGCGGTCGAAACACGGTCTGGCTTCAAGTTTCGCTGTAAACAAAATACATTACATTAATATTACAATTGCAATAAAACTATAGAAATATCTGCCTACATTTATCAAAACATTCCTTAGAACATAATCAGAAATTTCTAGTCATAATTCCAATGCAACATTCAAAATTACTACGTAAAATAACAACTCGTTCTCTAAGTTGTAATAGTAAAACAACAACACACATGCAGTAGTTTCAAAGTACATAATATTTGCATATAATTTCACACTTCTTATCTCAAATTCACTATGCTAAAATACGTACATTCGAACTGTGAAACCGATATCGATAACAATAGATTGTCCAGTGATAAGTTTATTGCAATTTCAAGTGGCTGTATTGAACATGGAAGGGAGTTAACTGCTCAATCTGATATATAGAACGGAATACTTTTAAAAGTAGTTAAAAGCTATGTTGAGATTCAATCGATTATATTGTTATTGATATTGGATATCAGTCAAGTAACGAGACACAGATATCGAACTATAAATAATATACTTTATCTACAGAACAACACATTTTCCTAAACATACAACGTATCCTACGGTGACATTACAATGACTTACTGGTATGTTCCCGTAGTCCTTTAAATGCGTTACAGACTTGAAATAAACAAATCAAATTGAGGGGGCCGCTCTATACACTTATAGAACAACGTTGTGATCTACAAAACGTTTCATCCGAGAATCTTATTTTGATATTGAAGTAGATAAGACACGACATCAATTTTCATCAGTGTCTAATGATATCTAAATAGAAAAATAAAGGAATTCAATTCTGTCACTCAAGTACTTCTATCGACAAAAACTAATAATTGCTGGTCAATGATATCCCAAAGAAACTTCACACAAAATGTCGATTGAAAGAATCATCACTGTGAATCTCTCGACCCAATATGCATTTAATTCTCAATACAAAGATGCTAACGAATGTAGGTATCTATATGTTAAGTCATTCATCCGATTTATAACAATAATACTGAACGGACCAGTTCATTTTATCTTTGAAATAACCTCTAACAAACCTTCAATCTAAGGCTGTCGTGATAAAAAGTTAATCCATTGTTCTCTTTTACAATATACAGATTAGGTACAATAAAACTCGTCGTTCAGGCTCTTTGTTCAAATCTAGATGCAATATGGTGAAAAGGAATAAAAAAAGAACCATACAATTCACTTTGGAAACGAATAAAATCTTTCCTTCCACTTTTATAATAAAGTCTAGGTACTTAACAGATTCAGTCTTATTACTTGTCAACAATGATCAAATAAGACCTCTAATGCCTGTATCCATTTTTTGTTTAGTGCAATATTCTGTCATAACTGAACTACTAAGAAAGTTTGTGTACTCACCACCTGATCATACTGATAAACCATACGCTTGATGTGAGTAAGTTTGCGATGCAGGTAGTTGACACGCCGCCTCTCCTGCTTATACGCTGGGTCGTTGTTAACGCGTCGGTATTCGTCCACGATGCGTTGTTCTATACTCTGTGGGACAACCATATTTCTATTAGAAATTTGGTGGTAATTGATGGATTAATAGGCAAGTACATGAAAATGGGTATACATTTAGAATTGAGATGAAAGCATTTTAATTTGATTCGATTTCTACTGCAACTGCATAGGTCAATGTCAAAATTATCGAGTGAATAGGTTGCTTATGGGACGACGTGCTCCAACGTAGACCGCATCATCGCTTACCAACAGGTGAGATAGTGGTCAAACGTCGCCCCATCAATTATAAAAAAAAAAAAAAAAAAAATCCAAGAAAGGTGATCAGGAGACCAAAAATCAAAGTTTTCAGTCAACATTTGTTCCAAAGTTTCTAGAACATTCTCGAACTTTCGACACCTTTACTTATGGAAATTCATAGATTATTGCAATCATTATTTATCTTTTTCGTCACCACAATGTTATCGGTTGTTTCAACACGTGATCAGCCACTTAGTTGAGCGTACAACAATTATTTCAAATGATTGTTACACAACCATACAAGATCGCGTCATGCATATCTTTATTCTATATCGATAATTCATAGAAATACAGTAGATAAATATGATTATTGACTTATCGAACTTTTGATGAGTCACGCAATTATAATTGTATTTTTAAATACATTTAGTAGTCTAGGCAACTAGGTTTCCTCATTTCTCTTAATTTTCATTTGACGGGAAATGATGTGATCTGTCTTGAGGAACATACAGCAATCCAATGTTTAATTAGGTGTAAAACAATTGTTTCAAAATATAACCGAGAAGAATAGAATTTCGGTGCATTGTTTTTGGCTGAAACAAGCCAATGACCTGTTAAGGTGATGTAATAACACAGACCACCTTAATTTTGATAAGGAAACTTAAGCAAATCCAATGTATATTTGTAATCGAAATAGTCTAGTGACGTAGGATGATCAAATGTGTCAAAGGCTTCAATTCCTGACAAATACAAACAACCACTACTCAACTAAATTAAAAAAGACATTATAGACATATTTCTTACAATATTAAAAGCCTTATAATTAGGGTAAAAATACATTTGCATGGCCAAGTGTTTAAGTTTGTTTACATATCATTTCACAGGGCAGTTGTAAAGAAAATTAAGATTAAATCAACTACCTTCTTATGAAATTAGTATGGACATACCTGGTGATGCGGCGAGAGAGGTTGCGCGCGTTTTAACTCCTGTTCTAAGCGAGTAAACATCGCGGCCACCTGCGCCACACGGTTGTACAGCGACCGGTACTCCGTATAAAGCTCCGCAAACTCGTTCTTATACGCCCGTCGAATGTTAGAACTAGTGATAGGCGGATATTGCCTGGAAAGAAGAGAAAACAATTGTTATTAAAAACATTCTTTAGTCTTTAAATTTCTTGTTCTTCATCTAAGTTGTCTTGATCTTACGAGTAGTTCCAATCCTTGCTGAGTTTTCGAATTGCAGAAAAATTACAGAAATCCCCAAATTAATACATGACAGACCAAATACGATTACAAATACGACTATGTACAAATGATTACAATTTACAATTGAACTAGCTCCTACAATGTCAACGTACTGGAGTAAACTCTGACATTAAATTAGAAGATCAAAATGTCAGCTGCATAGCATTTATCGAGAGACCACACCTGACCAGGTACTGACAAAATGCAAATCTCACGAGAAAACGGCCACAAGTATGCACGGCGATACTGTTATTGAGACATCACACGTTTGCATTTCCCACGCAAATTGTAGTTGCCATCTCAATTTAATTTTCATGCGGCGTTTACACGACGCTCAAGTAGCGATCTCGTTTAGAATCAATCTCGGAACTTATTAAAATTCTCTATACGCGATCCTTTGGTGTTAAAGATACCAAAGTATAAATTTAGATCAAAATGTTTGTTTACCTTGATATCCATGATGATCTGGGGATAAAGAAAAACAAAGAATGTATCAAATGTGTACTATCTATTACGATCTACGTCTAAAACGATTAATTTTACTTAATTATTGAAGTTCAGATGGCGATGGGTTTGCAAACTAGTGTGATTGTGTAGACGGTACACCTATGTTAAACAATGTGTTTGATATTCTACAGTGAACACAACGCCAGGGTTTATTAGTGTGGGATATAAACAGTATATGGTTCCATACCTTTCAATTTCTTCCAAGTCAGTCATATTCTCATCAGGGACAGGCGCTAATTCTGTATTTTCTAAGGGTTCATTATTTGTGATGTCTTTTTCTGTAAACAAGAACGGGAAAATTAGATTCGTATAAACAAGAGTTTCAATTTTGTATTAAATATTAGTAATGACGCATATTTTCGTGAAAACAGATATTTAATCAGGTGTCAGTCACCTGCAACTGACATACGATATGGCCAAATGTTTGCGTATTGAAATAGTTGTATTAAAAAATTGTTATATTTGTAAACTTATACGCTATCTCGTTATTCATATGCAATACATATAACTGTTTGTAAATAAGGATAGTGTTACAAATAAGTTCGTTTGTGAAATGTTTTGGCCAAGTTTTTGAGAACGAGATGAATAATTAATTTTCTTTATTATATCTTTCGCAATTTTCGGACGATAGACATTACAGTTAGCAACAAATTTAACATGAATTGGATGAAATGTTTTTACAATTCGCTCAGTACAAGTCTAATGGTAGATTAGGGTACATAAACATGTTTAACAAGTTTGTAGTGTTTATACATACCTGTGATATTCGTTTGGGGTTCTACTGGGGGACTACTTCTAAAACCATTCGTCTTCACAGGACTGGGACAGAGATCCTTTACAGTATTATAGTTAAGGGTATAACCGTTACTATAACCGTCCTTTTTAACTGAAACAGATAAAAAAACACGTTAAGACTTAGCCATTTAGTCCATTTTAGTCTGAAAGTGAAAGGCACTAACTTTTTTATACTAATCAGTTGTTTTAGGTTTATATTCGTTCCAAATTCCAATTAATCGTGTTTTAATGACTCATTGGAGGTTAGTAAACAATAAATTTTTCGCTATCAAACTGTACTACCGCTACGAAAGCGGGTTATTACGGCCAGTTTAATTTCCTGAATTACAAAGGTGTTTTTGGCGTTTCCTATCCTTCATTATTACGAGATTAAATTACTCGTGTTAGACTAATTAAACAGTATAGGTAATCTTAAACATGCAAAAAGGAAATGTTCACGATTATTTGTTTATATGTAGATAACTACATATGATTCATACACTGATTTTAAAAGTGATATTTTTTTACACAACTTCATACAATCGTCATTTCCTCAGTCACCTTACGAAGACCTTGTTTCTAAGGGCATGAACTCAAGATTGTCTGAGGGTCAATGACTTGTATCATGATATTATGAAAACATGTCTACTAATTTGCTGATATTTATCTTCTAGATGAGGTAAGGTATGTTTATGATATGTAATTGGTACATTTCTTACCTATATGAGGCCAAGATAAAGCTATGCAATAAGTTCAGAAGAATTTCCAAATCGAAAAAGAGAAAAGGGTACTGGTATGTAGAAGTAAAATGGACTATTTTTTACTTAACTTATAAGACTGAAATGCAATATAGAGTATGAGGTATTTAGTAGCAGAAATGTTATGGGAATGACGTACAAATATGAGGTAGCGAAAGAATAGATATTGGAAGACTTAAGTGTTATAAAGTGGTTGTTAGTTCTTACCGGTGGTTCGGTCATCCTCGTTGTCGGAGGCCTGTCGCTCGCCCGAGGAAGTGGTGGCGTAGCCCGAGGAGGGTGGCGAGGGGCGGCGGTAATGGGAGATGCGCTGCTTCTTGGCGGCCGGCGCCTCTTCAGCGCCCAGCGCCGGCAGCGCGGCCCCGGGCACCGCGCCCCCCGCCGCACTAGCCACGCTACCCGCACTACTCGCACTACTTGCTCTCTTGTTGCCAGAAGGCGACGCTCGTGGGGACAACGAGTTGGCCGAATCGCTACTTAGCGGTGGCGTTAGATTTTGAGGTTTCCGCCTGTGAAATAGTAATGAAAATATAAGTATTATGTTATACACAACTGTGATGAAATAATAGAAGAAACTCAAAGCAAACTAGACTTCAAGTCCCATTATAATCACCATTATCTTACGACTATTAGTACTCGATAGAAACTACTCCCATACCATGGCACTAAGCTCAAACTATAGTCTTCTTACTCAATAAGCTTCAGGAACATTTAGAATATTACGTCAAGATTAAACAAGAGTAAATATTCTTGTTTTTCATCAATCATTGGCGATTACAGTTTCACAACTAATAAAACAACTGTAATGCACTACAAATACTTTCGCTTCCATCTGTTCATTCGAATGTTCTCGACTGCAGATCATTGTTCTGTTTTCAATCAGTATCTTGATGATAGAATTTTTAACAGGCTATTTAAAGAAAGATACTAAATATAGATTTTATTACGTACGAACAGGTTTGCGAATTAACTTTATGCAATTTTATTATGTAGACAAGAACACATCAAGTAGCAACTTTATTTCCATTGCAATTACATTAAGAACTTTCTGGTTTACATTCATTCCGAGTTTAATATAGTCTTGTTCTTTACGTAACTAAGGGATAGACATTTACGCAAACCTCTTTACTTGGACCCGATTGATCCGTCTGCATCACTAACTGCGTCAAGACAATACAGTTATAAATAATTATAGATTATAATATAAATGATAACATACCTCTTGAGTATACGTTTCTCCTCCTCAGTGTAGAACGGCCAATCTTCGTTGACGTCATTCCACATGCTTCTACGTAATTGGTAAGTATTATCCTTGAGTATACTGATTTGACTCAAAATCTTGTTCACGAAACTGCGATCCTTTTCTTTGATACCCTCTGGAAGATTTAATTGTATTCCACGTGTTAATGAAGTGGAGTTAGCGGTACATGGCACAAGAGTTCTTGAAATCTACACTTACCGGTAGTAAGCCTCGTGTACAATTCGGGCTTCTTGAAGGGTTTCAATGCTAATAATTGTATAAGTCTTTCTCTGAAAAAATAAGAAAAATGTATATTAGTATGTTATTCATATAAGTATTGTTTTGACGCGGCCAAGGAAAATGATTAAGTTATCTTGGAGATAATTTCGCTTTTCGACGGATTAGGAATCGGGTATTTCCTAATTGTTTTGACCATTAATTATATGGGTTTTACCTTCATTACTTATTTCCAATTATTACAATCAGTAGCTTTGTAAAATACAAGTTTAGATGATGTTTAAAAGATTTATCTATTAAACATCATAGGGAGTACTTAAAACTAAACTGGTACTTAAGGAAACATTAGAAAAATAATGAAATATTGAGATAATTTTTCTCATTTTGATGTTGAATGTGAGGCTCATGAGCTATTTCCATACTACAATAGAAACAATTTACGTTGTCCTTGACTCTGAGTCATTCTGTAATTATATTGAATACAGCTCTGTTCAGCTATAAGGAAACAATATGAATGCAAACGTCAATATGTCCATCATTTGTTTGAACACAAAAATTAACTCACTTCGCAATAAGTCTATGTCAACAAAATTCTTAAAAAATGTTACGTTTAGTATAGAACGCAATACTTCATAACGAAACATGTAAGGTTTTTGTATAAATACGATGGATAGCTAAAAGTAAAGTCATAATAAAACAAGGTCGTAATCATACAGTTTCATAGACACGAATATTATTATATGTAATGCTAGTTTTTGTGTTAAAATATTTGTATAAATTACTTTTGTACATAATATTGTAACATAAACCGCTGTTGCTTTGTATATCAGCCGCAAATTATCACTACGGTTTTATTGTGATAACGATATGAAAAAATTATCATAAGACCGTACCGTGGAAACGTCACTATTTCGCGTATAATCATTAAAATGAAATAGAACATGACCCTTACGTAAGTAAACAGTTTTAAAATGGAAACAGGGAGATAAATCACAAACAACATAGAGAAATAAAGGAAATATTCAATAATATTTGCGAAAGGTTGTGAAAATTCCAATGTAGAACTAACACATGATGTCATCGTGATCGGTTTTACCCACACAGATTCCAGGTAATGTATCATACATAATATTACATCTGCATTTGCACGGTTGCAGTGCAAATTATGATGGTACTTAGTGTGCCAATGAGAAATTTTGAGTCTCACTTACACAGATTTGTGCTCAAATTTTTGTATTGGGTATTCATTTATAAATACGTTGTATGACTAAACTTTCGTTTACTGGCAAGACAAGGATATGCTTGCACGTATACTGTGGCTTTATCTAGTAATACGAGTGAGGCTAACTTACTTGATGGACCGCCTAGTGAGATCCGGATTAGGGGGTGGCCGCTGTGGCTGGTGCTGGGTGGGCGGGTGTTGTGGGTGCTGCTGATGCTGGGGGTGAGACTGGTGCGGAGGTACGCCCGGCGCCGGCTGAGGCCGGGGCGCAGGCGGGACGGGCCTATCCGGCCTGTCTGGCCTTTCCACACGCTCAGGCCGCTCTGGCCTGTCGGGCCGATCTGGCCTTTCCGGCCGCTCGGCTCGTTCAGGTCGCTCGGGCCTTTCGGCTCGCTCAGGCCGCTCAGGCCGTTCAGGCCTTTCCGGCCTTTCGGGCCTGTCGGGCCTCTCAGGCCTTTCGGACCTTTCAGCCCGATCGGCTAACTGGTTCGCTCCCACACCCGAGTAAGGATGCGTCGAGCGCACTTTAACGCGACGTCCGATGTCCGTCTGGTTAGGTTTGATTACGCGGGTGCTGGAATAGGAGTAATTGGGTGAATTCAACAAAGCGGACTAAATAGCAAGTTGTTTAAAGTAAGATTTTACCAAAATGAGAGGAAATTAAGTGTTCAGAATTGCAACAACGATATTTCAATTACTCAGACACAAGTCGGATTTCCATGATTAGTTAATCCTAATCTTTTACATTGATGGGTATCGTTTACTTATCAATTTTCCTGTTTATATGTTTTTATTGAAGTAAGAAAAGATAATAAACAAAGTAAAAGTAATTATAGAGAGTTTAATAATATTTTGGAGCAAAAAAGTAAGCAGACTTTATAGGTCTATTACGCTTCTAATAACTTTTGTGAGCTTCATTATTAAAAAAGTAATTAAGTAGTACAACAAAATCTGTTCGGTGTTCTGTATCCAACAAAAGCGAGAGAGAAGTTACAGGGACCAATTGACTACATGTGCAGAGTTCAAGAATGGGTGGGTAATGGATGTAAATGTATGTACTGACCATTTACTCTGCTCCGCGGCGACTGTTCTCGCCATACGGTCCTTGGTGGCCTCGTACGAGTCGTCGTTGGCCTGTACACGCATTCTGCGAGATAATGCCCCGCACGACTCCAAGCGCCGTGCTCCACCATTTCGAACACACTCGAACGAACCCTGGAACATAGGAGAATCACTTCAGAACGATGGTCGAATATTGGCAGGTAAGTTTAGTAAATTGTTTGCTTGTTAGTAGGACTATCAATATCAGCAGCCCGTATCAGTTCATTGTCGGGGCATGGTTCTACTCTATACAGAAGGTTTGCAGACTATACGTGTAACCCTTTTATAAATTTCCAAAATCAAATCAACCTAATGAATACTGGCCTTAAAAAATTAAACCATTGTTAGTTTCGAGTAAGTAACGCAATATAATGAAATAGGTCGAACAAGGAATTCTTCTAATCCCATTAAAGTCATAAAGCTGCTTTATTTAAAAGAAACCTCGCAAATATAACATGCCAAGATTTCATAATGTACGTGTATAACTAGAAACTATTATTTCCATACCATTTACTGAAATATGATTATGTGTAACTGGAACTTGATCGTTCACCCAAAAAATAAAGGCGAATTGCCATACTATAAAAAGCTTTTCCGAAGCTTTATTGAACGCAGTTCGTGGGAGGGTGAAATTACTACACCCACGCTAAACGTTTATAGAAGCGATGAATCGTTTCAGCTACGTGTATCTGTGAAAATACTCTATACCGCACCTTAGGGGTTTATATCTGAAGATTTGATACAATTATATTTTGTATTAGTTAAATAATAGTGGTGCTTTTTCTGTGAATTCTACCCTATAAAGATTTTTGGATTATTCCTTGAATGAATTGTTCAGAAAAATTAGCATTATAATTTAAAATGAAGCTACTTCATGATGCAACGTGTGCGTTCTGCGACTGAATTCGCGCTTTCTAACGGCTATTGGGTAACGTTCTTAGTACGGCCCGTACCACCGCATTCCAAGTCCACGTGAAATTTTCATTTTTTGCTAATCACGACTGAAGAACTAGACTTCTTTATAATCCTATTGTGGCACGGAAGTTTACTGTAGTCTGAAAGATGCCGCGTCATAGCGCACTAGCGCAGCGTGCCAGTTCTTGTCTAAAGAGGAATCACGAATTCTCTAAGACTAATATTAGCTTTAAGATATCGTAGGTGTTGAAATAAATAACTGTGCAACTATGAACAATATTATTTATTATTATACCATGATATATTTATTATCGAAACCATTTTAAACGATGCACTGTTACTTTTGGACTGTCCGACTAAAAATAAATTTATTTTGACTTGGTCCCACGAAAATATTTAGGGCATAGTAGAGGCGCCACACGTAAGTTTACTCTTACGAATTTGTCGGTCACGCAATTTATTATCGGTTGCAACCGTTCCGCGACCCACAAACCCACGAACGCGTCACAGCATGGCAGAAGCACGAAGAATAATAATCGACCACCATCTTGAAACAGCTGATTAACACATCGCAAAATTATATGCTTCAATTTGGATCAATGTGTGTGTACAATCGTCAAGTTGCTTATCTCGGTTAGGTCGTAAAATTGACCGAGATGTGTGAAAGACGAAAGCGTGATAGTACAACACATATGTGCCTAAGTACCTACTGCTCGGTTGCCAAGGGCTTTGTGTTGTTAACCTAACATACGATTTATGTGTGTCAAGATGTCCGATAAAACGGCGCAATATATTTATAATAATTCAAGTTTATATTGAATGGAAGTTATTACAGTCGGTAATCATGATATAATTTCTGCAAAGAATAGAAAAACTACATACAATATTTAAAATCAAATTGGGCTACATTGTTACTGAGCAGTCAACGGCAAAACATTAAGATAGCTGCTCAAATGATAATAGCAAACATCAAAGTTGAAAGAAAAATGTTTACCAAGTAACCATCAATATTGAAACAAGTGCTTATTTATAACAAAGTTCTTCTTTGACTTAAATATTTCTAGCAAATTCTGTTCATTATCATACATAGAGGCCTTATAAAAATGTCCAATGCAATTTACGATCAGGTTTTTCAATACATTTGTCGTTAGATACTTAACCTTGATATTAGTTGAGATGATTGAAGTAGGTACCTACCTATATTTTGTTTAGAATAAAGAAAAACTCGTTTACACGTGAAGGAAATATGCTAATTTGGCTTTACAGTACGTACATTTAAAGTTGACAGTCATTCATTTCGGGTTGAAATTACGTAGAAAGAAAAGGTTGATTTGGAACCAAATACAGACTATAAACACATGCAAAATTATTCCTGTTATGTGGAAAAGATAAAAGGCCAAGCAAAATGGAGACTATTGGCTAGGCTTGTTTGATAACACCCGCATGCATGACGTTACAACCTGTTTATAATCAAGGTGATCTGATCTGGGATATGTTCAAATAGTCTACAATTCACTACAATATTCTTCAAATAAAAAAGCTCGTTGTCCCCTAGGTGACAAGACATAATTTGGAAATCACAACATGCAAAAGGAGAAAATGGCGTTATGACGTTTAGAATGGAAGAATAGAAAATGAATAATTGGTACTGAATAGAAGTAAGCGGACTATCTTTGACTAGCTATTAACTTAAGCATCCTGCGTACACAAGAACGAATGTTCTTGGAGGAATCATGTCATAGTTATCATGCTCGGCACGAAGCTTGAAGATCGTTGATGTTATCAGTTTAGAAGTGGATGCTACTGCCAATACGCCTGATACTAATCTTAACTTGTTACTGATCACATAGGAAAAGAAAATGTATCAAATAGGTCTCAACTGAATTAAATTAATTTTTTCTTAAGATAAATAAATGTTAAGTTCACTGGGTTTTACCTGTGGACCCTCCATCTCCGCATTACTATTAATGCTGAAGTGAAATGTAGCCTCGCCTGCTTGGCCATTGCCACTGGCTGGCGCCGGAATGGAGATTTTCTGAAATAAAGAAAATACACTATTATTTACAGAGAACTAGTATCACCGATTACAATACTGACATAGTGGTTTCAAATTGATTGGTTACCGTATACAAGTATTTAATCAGTTTTCTTTGACATAGCCGTTTAGTTTAGTTAAATTGGCTCATTAGACACAGTAAAAGTTTAAAGCCAAGGTTATAAAACAATAAATACTACAGAATTGAAGTATTCTTTATGTATAACGTGAGCTCACAAGTGGTTTTAGCCCTTATCAACAGAACAAATATAAACAGTGTCATTCAGTTTATGCACGTGACATCTTTATGAAGACATTAAAATATCTGTTAGCATACTTTAAATTCTACTATAGTCAACAACTGGATCAACAAAAACGGTCCTTGGATTTGTAACACATGTAATATTATTCCATAGGCCATCTCACTATACCTGTATAATCAAGTATTTTTTACAATTGCCGTTGAGTATCTGAGGAACGTTGTTGTAATAAATATTTATTTCATGTTTTATAGAACAAAAATAGGATATGCGTTGTACCGTGTGAATAATAGTTAAGTCGTTGTATGATGACTGGCTGACGTAAGAAAATGATAAACAAATATATTTCGGCGAGCCTTTAGTACAGATAACGTTGCTCTAATCGAAGGAAAGAGTTTCGTTCACTGCAACACGTGAATAATTTTAAAAGAATCTGTTTTATCGCGTGTCTTGGATGTTAGGAGATTCAACGTGGGAAATCTGGCACGAGATCACTGTGTGAATCACGCAAATAAAACTCTAAATTACTATGGGGGCTGTTTGACGAAATCAAGAATCATACATAATGAGCAACTAGTCACAAGAGTTTTATTGTATTACATGCACTCTATCCACCTGCTATGCGATTGCGCACAGTTGATAAAAGAGCAAAGTAATCCATGAGAAATCTACGACGTTTCTTGTTACATTTCCAAGTACGGCTGACCTGGGCCAGTAGGCTTAAACGTAGGCGCAACTGTGTAGTAGATACATAATATGCGCCCCGAGACGTACACCACATCAACAAGTGAGTAATGACTTTCATCGTCTGGTATGGCAACGTCGCGACTTCACAGCCGATGAGCGTATCATACCGTTTCACCATTAAAGACAGTGTTTGTAAATAAATTAAATTTCGGAGACCAATACTTTGTTTATGGCATTTCTAACAATCAATGTTAGCACTTTAAAGTACCAGAAAATGGATATAGCTAAAATAACTCTCAACTTTCGGAATCTGTTTATTGAGGTCGCTATGAGTTCTTCATGGTTCGCTACGCAGTGCCAGAAAAACAAATGAACTCGATTTATTTTGTCCAGATTTTTCACTTCCCTTTCACAGGCACTGCAGAAATGAGTTTCTTTTTAGTGACTGATGAAACATGACTACAAGATGACCCTTTTCGACGCAAAGGCGTCGTGTTTGCCAGCAGTGTGCTCTATTATAAAATAGTGTACAACAGCAAGACGAGTTGTGTCCAGGCGTGCCTCATTTGGTGACGCGCACCTACATGCGTGGCCACGAGCCGCTGTAAGGTCGCGGCTGGCGATGTGTGCCAGCACCACAATGCCAGGCAATTAACCTATTAAAGAGTGCGCCGCGAAGCGGACACCGATGGAGCAATAACCCGACAAGTCCCGTCGCTTACGTGTTAACCGATACCCAGATTGCTCATTTCACCCATCTTTGTACGTAACATTGACGTAATGTTTATCCCCGATCCCGAAATATGTCTTAATTAGATATCTGTATTTTCCCATTTTATGACGAAAGCTGACACCTTTACAATAACAGCAGTTTACAATTTAACAAGAAATAGAAGACACTATAGCGTGATGGAGAATCTTAACAAGTATTCTATAAAAACTAAGTCAATAATGCACAAAGCAGCGTCGTCCAACACGCGATTCAAGTCTGATAAACACAAGGTAAAGGCATAGAGCATAATATGGAATTATGGAGCTAATGAGGAAAAAACCCGCTACGAGCGTTGCGGGCAGCACAGACACTGCGGGGGAGTGCGGGGCGCGGCTTTCTCTGCGGTACAGCCGACCGATATAAAGAGCGCCTCGCGATGGAACACTTCGGCATTCGGTGAACAGCCGTCTCGCCCGCATCGCCCGCTGTTCCTTCCACGGATCCCTGTATTGTTTTGGCTTGCTGCTTTTATTGACCGATTTTTGTGATTGTCACTAATACAATAACATACACGATTAGATAGTTATTTATAGGTAAATAGTCTAACATCTGCAAATAGTAACATGTCAAGGTCGTTAGTTTCATTGTGTCTTATGACGAAGGTCGGCCACTGCGCCTCGTTTGGACCGGAAAATGGGTGTACACGAGGAAATCCGTTGTCCGTTTTTCAAGGCATTATTGAGATGCCTCCTAGTCGAGTAATTTGTTAGTTGTCTTATCAAACTCTACATGCCACCTGTGCCAGTAAATCTTTTTGATTACGTCATTCTGAATGCGTAAACAACTGGATTCTTTTAACTTTTCGGTCGTGGTAGGAGTTTTCTTTATTGTGTATTGCCCGTCGTGCGCAACGACTGTGGCTTTTGTTGGTTACCTAATTTCACAGCAAGCGGCGAGCGGTACACAGGCTTGCAAAGTGAGAGGCCGTCACAACCGGTCCGTTCGGCTCGCTCGACCGAGAGATACACAACTACGTCGCAGATAGTGTTCTTGGATGTAGATTTGCTTGTATGTCTCATATATATTCTTGCAAAGAAATAATACGGGGCGGCCGTTTGTAGACAGTCTTTCAGAAAATATTGTCATGCATAAAGTACAGAAGTAATGTGTTTTACAATTCTACGGGACAAACCCGGACGCAAAGCCAGCGGTCGTGTGCCCCAGCCTCGAGTTAACGTGTTGTATCTTATTGACGTAACATCGCGGAGGTGGCACCGTGCGTGCGATGCAAATTGAACTTTAAATACAGCTCGCCTTTGGTACAATATTCGTTCTACTGATATTGGCATACGTCAGTGGTGTACGATAATAAATGGTTCACTTCAACACGAATCGTAGCGGGAAATCCACGCGACTGGCTTGTGATCGCCACCATGTTAATTGCTTGTCGACTTGTTATTTTCTTTACTTTATGATATATGATAATATGTACTCATAATAATTATTGCAAAGTTGTTTACAGTTCACTTGTTTGTAGTTCAACCTTCAACCTATAAAACGCTACGCTGGAATGGTTTCTAAAAAAATAACAAAGAAATATTAACAGAAGTAAAATCACCGTCTTCCACTTTGTATAAATTAGTTTGGCCTTCAAATAATTCAACAGGGGCAGAAGGAAGCACATTGCTTTATACAACTTGTGGAAAATCTACTTTTTAGATAAGATACCAAACCAAATTAATTAATCCATAATATACAGTTGCAATTAATATCTTTTTGGTATCTTGTATTTCAATGACTTATCAAATTCACTTAAAATTATCGCCTGGCAAATACCTATTTTATCGCGTAGTTAGTAAAAGAGAAGATAAATAATTTAATAATCAGTCGAACAACAAACAACGAAGAACAAATTGATCTCAATATAAAATGACCGCGTGCCCTATAAAGGCGACCAAAAGTATTATAAGTGTGCTTTAATGAAAAACTAGTCATCTTAAAACTATCTACAAAATAAGGAATCGTGAGAAATACTAGGGCTATTTATAAATAAACAAACGAATGTAAACGTTCAAGTAGTTGACATGTTGATAAACAATGTTCTGTTTAAACAAGATGTTTTCCTTTTAAATGATACAACAAGAACAGTGTCTTTTAGGAAAGGAAAATTTTGAATCCACATTACAAGAGCAGAGAATTTGGCAATGCGTCCGCGGAAGAAATTGTTCTAACACAATTTACTAACGGTAATAGTCACTTTCATCGCAGCAGACACATTTAAAGGCGAAGTGAGTGGCCAGTTATTCGTGAGGTTTCTACGATACTATTTGCATATTCGCCGACTTTCTAATGGACGATGCGGCCGCTCTTGTCGCAATCGTCGGCAGCGGTGAGGTAACACTGATTCATTTAATTATATACTTATGTTGAAAAAACAGTATTCGAGTCTCGCGCATTGTTGCCATTGAACAGTGAACACTGTTGTGTGTGCCAGTCTAGCTTGGGTTTTTTCGCTCGCTTGGCGCACGCTCATTGGCCACAACACAACTTATTAAAAGTCGTGTTCAAAAACCAGAATACCTTGTCTTTACGTATATTCGATCGATAAAGATTTAAGTCAAGCAACCTTACCACGAATCTACCAACACCACCGAATCGAATAATTTCAACTTTGCAATTTTCTACTGCTTAGCAAACACCTGGCTCGGCTGGCACTGATACGGTTGCGAAAATGTTGCGGTCGTAAAACCTAATCAAACTTTGTCTTGTCGACAAATAGGTAAATTCTATTTTACGTAAAGTTAATTCTATTGCGGTGAATGAACTATGTTAATTATTTGCGCGTGGTAAATGATTAGATTAGTGCACCCAGGCCACATGAACGTGTATTTTGTTATCGTTGCTTCCTATACTATAGATACCGTTGATTACGTCAAACTTGGAGATTATTCTTTGGGCGTGACAAAATATAATATAGTTTTGCTCAATGTTACGCTGGATAGAAACATTGAAGTTTAAATTATGTGCGTTGCATTGTAAATATCACGAGCGCTGCGGTTGACGGGTGGGTCTTTGCAAGGATTCATTCTGGTGCCGTTCTCCTTCGTGGCGGCCGCTCGCGACCTTCCGCCAGAGGAGGGGCACCTCTCACCGACGACGTGACTGCAACCACGGCCTTACGTCGCGAGGCTGTATCGAAACCTCTACGTAACGAAGCTCTTTCCAGCCGCGGTTACTCAACGCCCGATAGTTCCGTCGATACATACCTACATACTTGCTTTGCCGTATAAACCACCAGCAGATCACGTGATTACTTGCGTAACGAATTATTGCCGGCACAC